TGTTTTTAGAGGGTATTTGAAAGGTTCTTTTTTGAAAGTTAATCCTATGTAAAAACATACAATTAATTGGATACGTTAATGTTTAATTCTAACTGTAAAAAACAATAAATTCCTTCAATCTGTCAGCAGAAAAAATGAAGAAAAAAAAAACAAAAAAAAACAACAGAAATATGTTGACAAAGTAATGCAAGCAGAACTGACAAATCTAGTGATGAAACTTTTGGAGACACAGGACCTAAATGGAAGTTTGAGGAAAGATGAGAGAATCACTAGCACTGGTATACTCACAGTGTTAGTGTTCCAGTGCTGTGAATTTAATGATAATTATAGAAAATATAACATGTCTTGAAAAAAATTCAAATGGTCAATTTACTGGAGAAAAAAAACAACAAATTAGTAAAATGTTAACTCTTTAAACAGGGAATATATTGCCATTGGGCTTTAGCTTACTTTGATGAATGTTATTTTAAGCATAATACGAGGGGTGATCAAAAATTAACCGGACTTTGTAAATCTTTATCTGTTAAATGAATTTACATAAGGCCTAAAAAAAAAATTGTTTTGTTCGGGTCACCCGACCCTACCTAATAATATGCGCCGACCCTACCGTTTTCTAGTGTCCAAAAAAAAAAAAAAAAAAAAAAAAAAAAAAAAAAAAAAAAAAAAAAATCCATGAAAATACCGTATTATTGAGGTACTCAATGAGCAGTGTGAAGGGGCAATTCAGGCGAAAATATAGCTGTGTATATTTCCATTTCGCTCTCCCAATTGATCAAAGAGAAGTCAACATCGCCGATAAAATCTTAATTCCCAAAGAGTAATTACTTGCCGATGTAAAGAGCAGAGATTGTATCCGCCCATATGACGACTGCTAATTATCATTATCCAATCAGAGCATCGCTATATACTACCCTTCTACCTGTATGCAAAGCGATAGACCGCCTACTCTAAATGGTAAATAATGAGAGCATCGGCCCAAAACGGGTATATTTTGCGAGTTTAATACGGGATTTGGCGATAATTATAGATTAATTTTTTTCCGATCATCTAAACACGTGCAAATCTTCCCTAATTGATATACACGCTGTGTTTAACCGAAGTAAAGGCGATGTGCAATGGGTTTTTCACGACTATCACAAAACTGTTAGTCAATTCGCAAAAATCTTATGATTGGTATGTTGTAGACAGTGAGAGTGTTTTGCATTGTTATCTTTGTAGAAATGCCAAATTTGACACAGCTTGTACGCACGTGGGCACGACATCCTAAAACTACGAATCATGATCGGCATGCGACATATCGGTCGTATATCATGTGCTCATGTATATAACAAAAAAATTTGTCAGGAAAGAAGTGTTCTTATTGTTTCAATATATATATTTGTTTTAATGTCATAAATATGACGCTCAGATTAAGATTTATTAATATTGTAAATTTCAAAAAGCATTATTTATAAAGATATTACCGAGTTTAACATTTCATAAAAATAAAGGGAGGTAATTAGAAATTTATTTTCTATAATTTCTCAGTCGAATTTTTCAATAAGAAATGAATGTATATAATTTTAGTGATCAAATATAATGTGCACAAATGTTTGCAGTACATATTTTACATATTCTTCGATATTTGAAAATTGTTTTATAAGCATAATTATATGCACATAAATATGACAATACAACATAGAATATTATAATAGAAATTTCAGTAAACAGAACAGGATAGACAGATTTTATTAATCATTATCCAATGTAACTTTATCTGGAAAGTAAAAATATAAAGTTAATTTATTCATCAAAGTTTTCTTACACATTATTATCAAAAATATATGAGAAAGCTTATAAATAGCTGATAAATAGATTGTGTTTCTATTCTAGTTAAAGGATGTATAGCCATGCATGTTAATGCATACACATTGGGATGTTTCCCTTATGCCGATTTTTCACGAGGAAGTCACTTTCCCTAAAATTTCCCCCCAGGATGAGCCCTGGGTACGGTACAGGTTTTATCGCCGCTCTTAGTTACAAAATGGCGGATCACATCGTCAATATTTGTAAAACGGCGTGTGATCTTCACCAGAAGAACGCCGTGAGTTTAAGATTGTTACACCTGAAATGTCTTTTGAAAACATAGAAGGGATGTATTTGTGCCACCCGGGAGGGATGTCAGAAATTTCCATATCTAAAATTTCAATATACTGGTGAAAAAAAAAAAAAAAAAAAAAAAAAAAAAAAAAAAAAATCCGACCTACCCTACCTATTCCTTGAGAGCATGTTACCCTAACAAAACAATTTTTTTTTTAGGCCTAAAAATGCACGGAAAATGAATTGGAATCTATCCTCTGAATGATACAAAAATACCAACAAGAAATATTAACAAAGAAAAAAGTTATGCTGTTATTGGCATGTACATGTATAGCAATGCGGCGCACGGTATAACTTTAAAATTGACGTTAACAACGTCACAAGCTTATTATCCTTAACGGAGCAGCTTTTTATTCATTAACGGAGTAGGCCAATACGTGGTACAGTCATGTTGTTGATACGGCGGATCCACCGTCTATATATATTTCTGTACAAGTGGGTATCATATTGTATTGTAATAAAATTGATTATAATAAAGATCTCCTGTAATCACGCAAACTTCCGTTCTTTCCTTCTGTAACTTGATTGTTGGGAATATCGCATATGCTATAAACTATATTATGTTTTAAAATAATGTAAAATAATGTTGCTGAATGATAACGTATCATACATACGATAAAAGAAGAATTATACAACTATGACCAAAATTGTCATTTTTTAAAAATAAATAAAATGCATAGCCGATTTTGAACAGTGACTGTTAAATTGTTGACACAATTTCTCCATAATGATAACACTACTGCTTAAAATAAGAAAATAATTGGTACAATGTAAACCAAGAATACAATATATGTAATAAATGCATTAACTATTATCATTTTAAAATCCTTAGAGTTGACTGCACCATCCCGTAGCTACTGTCGAACATCGTTGACAATGTCCGCAGTCAATCGACCGTCATTTTCAACGTCTTGGCGATTGACGTCACCAACGTCTTTGAAAATTTCTTTTTTTGTCTCTCCCTTACTTGTTTTCTATTTCTCTGTTACCCTTTCTTAATCCTTCATGCTAATAAAAAATATGCTGTAGGCTTCCTGGAACTTTTCCCTCGATAGCCATAATCTTTTTCTACATTTTAAGCCATAATCTTTTTCTACATTTTAAACAGGTTCTCGTCTTAATTTTGACCATTTTTTTCTTATTGATCGATTTTCAAGACTTTCCGACGACATAGATTTAACACAAATATTTTTTAACAAGTGACGTTTTAATTGTGATTGCAAATATAAATATGTTTTAAATGAAGTCATTTTTACTGTCAATGTCAAAGATATGGTTCATGACGTTTTGGCGTAGTTTGAAATCTAAATGTGCCATATTGTAAAATATACGCAGCATAAAGCGCCTGTGGTCAAGGCGAATTAACGCACTGCGCCGGGTGTGCGTTACCATGGTTTTTGAATTCGCTGTTACGGACAAGCTATGTGCGTTATCAGATTAGCTATAGCATCAGTTTACACGTATTGTTTTCCGATTAAGTTTGATATATAACAATAAGTGATACGTTGATAATTCTTCAATTGACAGTCACAGTCCGGTTTATTTTTGATCATCCCTCGTATAACATCAGATATGTGTGCAGAAGCCCGAAAAGTCTGCAATTGTTAAGATGCATGAAAATGAACATGAACCCTGTGTGCTGTTTTAATGTTAGATCATACTAGATCCTGGTAAAGATTGCTACTGTCAATTCATTTAAATGTTTGAGTAATGAGTGAATAAAAATTGAAAAAGAGTCTGTCGCTTATAATTAATATAAGGTAACTTAATATGCGTGAAAATGAAAATAAACACGGTTAGCTTTAAACAAAACATATATTATCAGACATGTATGGAGAAGCTTGTATTGTTTGTAACTGTTAAATTATTTTATTACATATATTATATTGATGTTTGATTAAACTGAAATAAATTACCTTGCTGTGTTTGTTTTAAAGACTGGAAGAATTGTGTTACATGACATGTAGTAATTATCAAGACTGTAAGATATAACAGGTGAACAAACATGGCTGCGCCCATTCACCGGGTTTATAACTTACTTTCAATTCTTTTTAAGGCAACTTGCAAATAATTAATAAATGAAATAATGAAATATTAAAAAAAATGATTTTGAAACAGGATAGATATTCATAAGTTTTTGTTCGAAGAGAAGATTCTCGTGAATTATATCGAATTCGTGAAAGCAGAGATACATCTTTTAAGAGATGTAGAAGTGTTGCAACAGAATTTTATCCACATTCATTCTTCTTCCTGTGACATATGCAAACCTAGAAAATCTGGAGGCCTCTGACCCTTGGGCATTCCCAAGTCAAAATTTGGAAAAAAACAAACCTTACAAGCAGTAAATCAACTGCCTCCAAAGGTGTTTTCATTTGAAGTTTTCTATCAGGTCATGGATTAACTTAAGAAGTATTAATGAGGATGAAAAGAAAATATTCTTTCAAGAATTTGTGCAAAACAAGTCTACCTATGATACTAGTCTGCCCCCTGTCAGCAAAAGTTGGTTGTGAGTCATATAGTTTGCTATACAAGGATTAACAAGCTGTAGCAAATATTCATATACACAGATTGTTGATAAACAGAAATCCCAATATTAACTTATATCTCATGGGACTTGGAAACTTCTCAAAAAATATTCTTGAAATAATGATGACAAAACAAAACTTTTATCTTAGCTAGGGCTCTTGAACATCCTGTATATGATTCCTCATCCATCAAAAATATCCCCTATATCATTTTTATAGAATGTTTGCAGTAAAACCACTGTTTATACAGGGATTGTCCTAGGGTGCGATATCCGCGATTTTTCGCACGGACACTGCAAAATTCGCATCGCAAATCCTTAAATGGGAGAATTTATCGCACCGTTTCCAGCCGAATGAAATTACGCTAATTTAGTACTTTCTGGCCTAAAGCCCTTTAAATCAACGTCGTCTGGACGATTGCCAAGCGTCTAATATACGCCCTCTTCCTTTTATAAGCGTTTTTCTGTTGTGATCAATATGGCGAAGCCGGACAAGCAGACATCTTTACTTTCGTTCCTAAAATCATCAAATTCAGATGTAAATAATAACTTTGATGGCGAAACACCATCATCGCCGAAGAAAGCGAAAATAGCAAAAGCAGTATTCCAACACAAATGGCTAAAGTCCTACTTCTGGTTGAAATTTGACGATAACAAAAATGAGATGTATTGCGATTTTTGTAGAAATTTACACTATTGTAATACCATGGCCCTGGGAACCAGTAATTTTAAGACCACAACCCTCCAGAGGCATGCTGCAAGCAGTGATCACCACTCTGCAGTATCAAACAAGTCACACAGACAGCAATTTAAGGAAGCTGTGCTCAATGCTGATAGCAAGGAGTCTAAGTCAATAATGTTGGTTATGAAGGTTGTATATTGGTTAGCAAAGGAGTGTATTCCTCTTACAAAATATTCAAGTTTAATGGAACTTCTTCAGTTTTTAGAGACTCCAAATATGAGTGCACTGAAAGTTGGTGAGAAGGTAAATTACTCCAGCTATAAGACAGCGTGCGACATTTTTGTGCTTTATCTGATCTTATTGACAATGATGTGACGGAAAAACTACACAAATCACCAACCTGAACCATAACAATTTTAACAGATGAAAGTACTGATATTGTTGTGCATCATAAGTTGTGCATCAGTGCTAGGGTGGTAGACCCAGTCGACTTGAACAGGGTTGCCAGCATCATAGATAAATAAAATTCCCTGACTTTTCCCTGACCAAATTAGGTTTTTCACTGACTAAAACTACCAAACTTAAACGGTCTCCACCTCCCCTACAGCCGTCCAATTCACCCCAGGGCTTTTTTTCCTTCTATAGCAGGGGCCATTATAGGACTGTTTCCCCAAAAAGAAATTCTTTAAAATCATGCTGTTTTACACAAAATATAATTTACATCAAGTTTTTTCTTCCCCTTTTGCAAATATAGTATTAATGTATCCCAAACATTAAGGGCAGGGCTGCTTCCCCAACCTGTGAAAAAAGCCCTGCACCCATAAGTTTTGTTGTTGTTTTTTTTAATGCTTTTAACAATATGGTCAATAAAACATGCTTTATACATCTAAGTTTGGTATTTTGTGTTCAGTAAAATGTTTTTGATGAGATCAAGTCTGAAGCAAAACTATTATCTTGAGCTACAGAACTGCCATAGCCAATATAATTAATAACAAGAGGGTCATGGTGGTCCTGAAATTACTCATCTGAATATAAAAACTCTCCATGAGCAAGAATAATTTTGACCCCAGGGCTTTTATTTGAACAAAGTTGGTAAACACCCATTGGAAAATGTTTCATGCCAAATATCTAAGCTCTAGCTCTTTTGTTTTTTAAAAGAAGACTTTTTAGTTTTTACTATATAAATTATACATATAAGGAAAATTAATGACCCCCATGACTGGACCAGTTTTGACCCCAGGGCTTTTATTTTAACAAACTTGGTAGACACTTACTAAAAGATGTTTCATGCCAAATATCACAGCTCTACCTCTTTGGGTTTTTCAAAAAGATATTGTTTTTGTTTTTTTCCCCCTGGGTGGGGCTTATTTTGACCCAAGGACTTCTATTTGAACAAACTTGGTAGACACACACTAGAAAATGTTTCATGCTTAATATCTAAACTCTAGCTCTTTTGGGTTTGTTAAAGAATTTTTAAGTTTATATAAACATATAAGGAAAATCAATGACCCCCTTGACTGGGCAAATTTTGACCCAAAGGCTTTTATTTGTACAAAATTGGTAGACACTCACTAAAGATGTTACATGCTTAATATCTAAGCTCTAGCTCTTAAAAGAGGTGAACATGGTTTTTTCCAGTTTTTACTTTATATATATATAAGGAAAATTCTTCAAAATTATTTTTCCCTGACTTTTCCCTGACTTTTTAGGATTTTTATTCTTCACTGACCAATTTTCAAAATTCCCTGACAATTCCCTGACCTTGAAAAATATCAGATTTCCCTGACTTTTCAAGTCTGCTGGCAACCCTGTTGAAACCTTCAACTTTATTCCTGTCTGCTGTGAGAATTACCTCTGCTACAGGAGAGGGTATCTTCACTGCGATTGAACAGCATCTTGGTGAAAGATACATACAGATGCCAAAGGTGTCAGGTGAGTTTCAACAATAAATCTTCAGAGTTTCAGTCATAAAAGACTCAAATGTCAATATTTCAAGCTGTCAGGTCTTTTGAGATAAAAAAGTTCACTCTATCTTGAATTATATTTTATCATTATAGGAACAATTTGATTTAATTATTTGGTATATTTTCTAGGACTTGGAACAGATGGTGCTAATGTTATGACAGGGAAGAAAAAAGGTCTTACAGGTCGTTTCTTTGAGTTGAACCCTCACCTTATCAACACTCACTGTTCAGCTCATAGACTAGCCCTTTGCACTGAACAAGCAGCTGAGAAAATTCCAGGTAATAAATGTTTTTGAATTTAGGTCACAAATATATCACAATGGACAATAAAAGAGGTCAGCTCAAATGTTATGAAGTTGAACATAATCATATACTTATGTAACACTGCAAGTCCAGTCCTTAATCCTTGGTTGAGATTGAAATTACAGGAAGGTCGCATGCATTCTTTTGCCATTTTGCTAACTTAAATGGTAAATGTTTTATTTTTCCTTTTTGCAGCAATGAAGTATTATCAGCAGATCTTAGAGTCTATCTTTTACTACTTCAAAAAGAGCCCAGAAAGATGTGACAAGCTTGAAGTTGTGCAAAAAGTGTTGAATGATCCATGTTTGAAATACAGAGAAGTTCACCAGGTAAGTTTCAGTTTGAGTTAGCTTTTGCAAGGACTTGTCGTGTTTGCACAACACTCCTCCCTACCTATTCTTAGACTTTTATACCCATTTCTTGCTTTGAAATCAATTGTACAGCTACATGTATAGAGGGTATACTGCCCATAAATATTCTTAACAAGAGGGCCATGATGGCCCTGAGGTCGCTCACCTGTATATAGGCCCCCCACCCCAGGGCCAATTTTTACCCAAGGGCTTTTATTTGTTTATTTGAACAGACTTGGCAGACACCCATAAGAAGATGTTTCATGCTAAACATCTAAGTTCTAGCTCATTGGCTTTTTAAAAGAAGATTTTTAAAGTTTTTACTATACACATATAGTTAAAAACAATGACACCCCCGGGGCAGGGCCAGTTTTGACCCCCGGGCGTTTATTTTAACAAACTTTGTAGATATTTACTTAGAGATGTTTCATGCTTAATATCTAAACTCTAGCTATTTGGGTTTTTCCAAAGAAGATTTTTAACTTTTTGCTGTACACATATAAGGAAAATCAATGACCCCCCAGGGCGGGGCTAGTTTTGACCCCAGGTCTTTTATTTGAACATACTTGGTAGACACCCATTAGAACATGTTTCATGCTAAATATCTTAGCCATAGCTCTTTGAGTTCTTTAAAAGAAGATTTTTTAAGTTTTTACTATATGCATATAGGGAAAATTAATGACCCCCTGGGGCTGACCAATTTTGACCCCAGGGCTTTTATTTGAACAAACTTGGTAGACACTCATTAGAAGATGTTTTATGCTAAATATCTTAGCTCTAGCTCTTTGGGTTCTTTAAAAGAAGATTTTTTAAGTTTTTACTATATGCATATAGGGAAAATCAATGACCCCCGGGACGGGGCCAATTTTGACCCAAGGGCTTTAATTTGAACAAACTTGGTAGACACTCACTAGAAGATGTTTCATGCTTAATATCTTAGCTCTAGCTCTTTGGGTTCTTTAAAAGAATTTTTTTAAAGTTTTTACTATATGTATATAGGGAAAATCAATGCCCCCCTGGGGCGGGGCCAATTTTGACCCCAGGGCTTTTATTTGAACAAACTTGGTAGACACTCACTAGAAGATGTTTCATGCCAAATATCTAAGCTCTAGCTCTTATGTTTTTTTAAAAGAAGATATTTAAAGTTTTTTCTTTTGGTTGCCATGTCAACCAGAGTTCTGCATGGAATTAAATTCTTTGAACAATTTTTAAAGGTGACCACCAAAGGAACATTCCTGTGAAGTTTGGATGAAATTGGCTCAGTGTTTTATTAGGAGATGTCATTTAAAGCAAAAGTTTACGGACGGACGACGGACGGACGAAAAGTGATCACAAAAGCTCACCCTGTCACTTTGTGACAGGTGAGCTAATAAAACTCAGTTTTCTATTTTCTGTACTTTGTTTCATGTGCATTCCTTCTAAAGATCAACATTTATTTGGAAACAATATATTGCTTTTTTTTATTACAGGTGCGATGGCTATCCTTCTATGAGGCGGTAGATGCAGTCTATCGAACAATGGACTCCCTGCTATCCTTATTCTCAACTTGTAATGATGCTAAAGCTATGGGCTTCAAGAAGAAGCTTGGTGAAGATTTCTTTTTCTATACAACCTACTCCATGATGGATGTCCTTCGTCCTGTTATGGCATTAAATCTATTCTTTCAGAGGAAAGATGTAGATATTGGCTGTGTTCAGGTAAGGTTTGAAGTTTTCAGGACTTACTAGAAGGCTGAAGCTTACCATATGAAGTAATATTTGAATCTTTGTGTTGAAAAACAGAATACAATTTTTTTTTCAGAACGGTAGCATTCTTGAAAAAAGAAAGTCATGACCAATTTTTACACGATAATACTTAAATATTAAATTATTTTGTTTTCTCAATCTTATTCACAGTTGTCAGTGGATACATGCCTTATTGAGCTTAACAAGATGCTGAAAAAGGAAGAGTTATCTTACCCATTTCTACAAGCTCTTACCGAAGATATGAAGGACAATGTCTACAAAGGGCAACATCAGATAACAAAATCAAAGTACAATTCAGTGACCTGCAGAGAGCCCTGATTGACAACATATCAGCCAGGTAACCAAGATTTGAACAAATTCAGATCTGTCTGAATGAAAACAGAATATTGCTTAAGCAGATGCTACAAGGAAGCAATAGCAGTGTTGAATTTTTCACTGATGCCCATGAAAAGAATCAAAAGTCATTCTGCAGCTGCTGTTTTTTTTCTTTTTGTCAACAGTTTGTTGACTTGATCAAGTTTTTTTTTTAATTTATAAGTATGCCATCACTGTTAGTTGCAGATGCAAAATAAAGATAACAGTATGAAGGCTTGACCATTTGTGCACATATGACAGATCAGTAAAATCAAACAAAACTCTTTAAGTACAACTGATATCAGCAATTTTATTTCAGGTTCCCAGACAAGCATATCATGACCAGTTTTTGTGCTTTGAGTCTCAGGCCCATAACATTCCTTGATGGTGAAGAGTTGGAATCCTGGGGAAATGATTCACTAGAGGTTCTCATAGATCACTTTGGAGCAACACATTCTCACAGCTATGAGGATAGCAGTGGAGTGAAAAGGGTTGTTACATCAGACCCATTAATAGATGCCACCAGTACAATGACAGAGTGGTCACTTCTGAAGAAGACTGTGAAACTTCAGCAATATCCAAGACACATTACACATGAACTCTGGTTATTGATAGTAAAATTCCATAATGAACAGTTTCCAACCTGTTGAAGTTGGCAG